AAGTGGGAAATTTAGGTACTGCTTTATACGGGGAGGCTAATTTAACTAATTTACGACACTATAAAACCTTCCAGCAGCATGCGTAAGAATTAGAAAGTACTCCATCAAGGACTTGGTGTCACAAATGGAAGGTGAAGCGACAACTCCCCCTGTGGCTGGAACCTCGCACCAAGCTAGCCTCCCGTCTGCTTGCCAGACGCGAACTCTGCCTGACCCGGAGATCAAGGCGAGCTTCTCGGGTCAAGTCACTATCTACCCTTTCGGTATCAGTGTGGGAATGCACCTGCTCGCTATCTCCTTCGTTTAAATTCCTTTCTGGTGAAAACGGCTGTGTTGACACTGCACTGTCTCTGAGAGCCTCAGAAGCAGGCTCGGAGATTTGAGGCACAGACAAAGAGCCAGGAAGCTGAAACCCAGCAGGAATCTAAATCCCATCATCCTAATCGTCAGAAAATAGCTCAGCCACAACACTAGGCTTGGTTGATTAGAGTGCGTGTGGCGCCAGAACCCCACCAATCCAGCCCAAACACACCTGAATGCCTTTCTAAGGTCCTACGGTGTGGCAATAACGGCAGCTCAGAAAATATTCATCACAGCCAATATTGCATCAGCGAAGAATCGTCCGGCGGAGCTTTTCCGAGTTGTCAGGGGCCTGTTAAATCCGCCTAAAAGCGAGGCCTCGGACAACTCGATGGCTCGCTGTGAAGCATTTGCTCGATCCTTCGCGGATAAAATTGAGCGGATTCGGTCGAGTTTTGACGTCATGTTAACTGCAGTCTCTGGGGATGTAACGAGAACATCTGCTTGTCCAGTTTTGTTGGATTCTTTTCAATTGGTTCAGCTTGAGGATGTGGACAGGATCCTTGGAGAGGTGCGACCCACCACATGCATCCTAGACCCCTGCCCATCCTGGCTGATAAAGGAAGCCAGAGGGGGTTTGGCAGAGTGGGTGAAGGTGATGGTTAATGCCTCCTTACAGGAAGGAAAATTTCCAGCGAGCTTAAAACAAGCTATTATAAAACCGCTGTTGAAGAAACCATCACTGGATCCCACTCAATTCGACAACTATCGGCCAGTTTCCAATCTTCCCTACTTGGGCAAAGTCATGGAACGTGTGGTGGCAACACACCTCCAGGGGTTTCTGGTAGACACTGATTATCTAGATCCGGCACAGTCTGGCTTTAGGCCGGGACATGGAACTGAGACAGCCTTGGTCGCCTTGGTAGATGATCTACGCAGGGAACTGGACAGGGGGAGTGTGTCCCTGTTAGTTCTGCTGGACCTCTCAGCGGCCTTCGATACCGTCGATCACGGTATCCTTCTGGGCTGCCTCATGGATATGGGGCTCGGGGGCACTGCTTTGCAGTGGCTCCGATCCTTCCTTGAGGGACGGACCCAGAAGGTGTTACTGGGTGACACCTGTTCGGCCCCACAACCGTTGTTGTGTGGAGTCCCACAGGGTTCAATCTTGTCCCCGATGTTATTTAACATCTACATGAAGCCGTGGGAGAGATCATTCGGAGTTTCGGACTAAGATGCTATCTCTATGCAGATGATGTCCAAATCTGTCACTCCTTCTCACCTGTCACCAAGGAGGCTGTCCAGACCTTGAACCGGTGTTTAGCCGCTGTATCGGACTGGATGAGAGCTAACAAATTGAAATTGAATCCAGACAAGACAGAGGTCCTAGTGGTCAGTCGTAAGGCCGAACAGGGTATAGGGTTACAGCCTGTGTTGGATGGGGTTACACTCCCCCTGAAGATGCAGGTTCGCAGCTTGGGAGTGATCCTGGATTCATCGCTGAGCCTGGAACCCCAGGTCTCGGCGGTGGCGGGAGAGCTTTTGCACAATTAAAACTTGTGCGCCAGCTGCGCCCGTACCTTGGGAAGTCAGATCTGGCCACGGTGGTCCACGCTCTTGTTACATCCCGCTTGGATTACTGCAACGCACTCTACGTGGGGTTGCCTTTGAAGACTGCTCGGAAACTTCAACTAGTCCAGCGAGAAGCAGCCAGATTGCTCACCGGAGCGGCGTACAGGGAGCATACCACCCCCCTGTTGTGTCAGCTCCACTGGCTGCCGATCCAATTCCGAGCACAATTCAAAGTGCTGGTCTTGACCTACAAAACCCTATATGGTTCTGGCCCAGTGTATCTGTCCGAACGGATCTCCCTCTATGTCCCACCTCGGAGTCTAAGATCATCTGGCGAGGCCCTGCTCTCGACTCCGCACTGTCACAAGTGAGGCTGGCGGGGATGAGGAGCAGGGCCTTCTCAGTGGTGGCCCCCCACCTGTGGAACTCACTCCCCGGGGAGATTAGATCGTCATCTTCCCTTTTGGCATTTAGGAAAAAACTGAAGACCTGGATCTGGGATCAAGCCTTTGGTCATTCTGACAGCTAACTGAGGGATCTGATGATAGACAAGGACAAATGGAATGGAATGGATATATGGACTCTGAACCCTGAGCATGAGACTGTTTTATGATTTTATTATGTATTGATGTTTTTAATTAATTGTTGAATTGTTTGTATTTGTATTGCTTGTGAATTATTTTGGGCATCTAATTGTGCCCCCACTGTAAGCCGCCCTGAGTCCCCCCCGGGGTGAGAAGGGCGGGGTATAAGTAAATGAAATAAATAAATAAATAAATGGGCAAACAGTACCTAGAAAGGAACTATCCAGGGTCCTGAACTTAGGTTTGGAACCAAGCTAAGCACCTTGGACAGCTCCTTTGAAGAGACTGAAACACATAGAAAATTGCCATAGGTTGGGAAGCCGCATTAGTTTCATCTTGGACTATATACAGGTATGGGCAAACTTGGGCCCGCCAGGTTTTTTGGGTTTCAACTCCCACAATTTCTAACAGCCGATAGGGGAGTTGAAGTACAAAACACCTGGAGGGCCCAAGTTTGTCCATGCCTGTTAACTATAGGGTTAAAATGCTGAGCAACATATATACAATCATATGAAAAGTTGCACTGACTCACACAATGCCCTTTGAGAGATATTCAAATAATCCTTTTGGAAGATCTTCTTCCAGCAGCCCAGAAGCAAACCTGTCTTGGTAAGCTCCTCCACAGCTAAAAGCCTAAATATGTAACTGTTGTCAAAACTCCCAGGCTCAGCTAGTCTCTCAGGCATAGTCCAACCAATCAGCTTGTGCTTTGCATTATTCAGTCAACACACTCACCAACTGATTTTTACACGCTGTAACAAATTTGATACCACTTGAACTGTCATGCTGCAATGTTATGGAATCATAGGAGATATATGCTAATCAAGATATATGCTAATCAATGCTAATCCAAGTGGCCTACTACAACATTCCCATTTGCCTCAAGCAGGCAAGAGTTCTTTCTCCCACCCTGGACATTATTACACAGGTATACAACCCTCACTTGCCTAGTTTCCAACAGACCGCACAACCTCTGAGGATGCCTGCCATAGATGTGGGTGAAATGTCAGGAGAGAGTGCTTCTGGAACATGGCACACTAGTTCGGCAAACTCACAGCAACCAATAGGAGATATAGTTTTGCAAGGTTTTAAGCCTTCTCAGCCAAAGAGTACTGGTGCCTCGCCATTCTACAAATCCCAGGATTCCATAGCATTGAGCCATGACAGTTAAAGCTAGGACGCGAAACAATGGCTTCAAACTACAAGAGAGGAGATTCCATCTGAACATTAGGAAGAACTTTCTGACGGTGAGAGCCATTCAGCAGTGGAACTCTCTGCCCCGGAGTGTGGTGGAGGCTCCTTCTTTGGAAGCTTTTAAACAGAGGCTGGATGGCCATCTGTCAGGGGTGATTTGAATGCAATATTCCTGCTTCTTGGCAGGGGGTTGGACTGGATGGCCCATGAGGTCTCTTGTAACTCTTTGATTCTATGATTCTATGATTCCATGATTCTATGAAAGCGGTGTCAAACTGCCTTCATTCTGCAGTGTAGATGCACCTTAAGCCTGCTTCCTCAGAGACATATGCAAAGTACTGCAACAGTCAAAACAGCCAGTGCTTAAAACACTAGAATTAATGCAGCCTGGCACCCCTTTCACTGACAGTGCATGGGATTGTAGGAGTTGTAGTTTTGCAAGGTCGTTATACCCTTCTCTGCACCAAATTCCAACTCCCAGGATTCCATATAATTGGGACATTGCAGTTAAAACGGTGTCAAAGTGCATTCACAAGAGATGCATTGAAAGGATGCAGAGAGAAAGCCATCTGGAGAGGCACACAAGGGGTTAAGGCCATAGAGTCTTGAGAGGTAAACTGAGAGGATGGGAGGACCAGGTTGGCCCCTTCCTGGAGGCCAAAAGGGGAGGATTTCTTCCTTGGAGGGGCTGCAGAGCAGTGAGAGGTGAGAGCAAGACGGAATGGATGGAGGGGAAGATCAGGGAGGGAGGGAGGGAGGCCCATTGGCAGGAGAAGGAAGAAGAAGGAGAAGGGAGGGGAAGGCAGGAGGGATGGTCCAAGCCTGGGCAGTGCTTGCTCTCCCTGCTGGAAAGGGCTTTCCTGCCTGTCCCTTTAAGAGCCCTGCTCAGGTCTTGCAGAGGCAGCAGCTCAGGTCTTGCAAAGCCAGGCTATCTCTCCACCTGGAGTGCCCTCTCCCTCTTTCCCTCCTGCCTTCTCCCCTGGCAGGCATTTCAGACTTCTGTAGTATCATATTACAATAAAATACACTATTCATGTTATAGCACTATTATTTTATACCTTTGTTATTTTTGATGATAATAACAATAATAATAATAATGGTATAGCATTATATTAAAATGTTAAACAACCAGGCACATCTAATCACCTCTCAACAAAAGATTCCCCCAGGCACTGCCAAGCCATCAAATGCTAATTAAGGTCGTCAGTTGAAACATTCACACCTAGCTCCAACAGACAAGAGTCCTTTGTCCCACCCTGGTCATTCCACAGATATATAAACCCCTTTTTCCTACTTCCAACAGACCTCGCTACCTCTGAGGATGCTTGCCATAGATGCAGGAGAAACGTCAGGAGAAAATGCCTCTAGAACATGGTGATATAGCCCGGAAAAACCTACAACAACCCACTATATTCATATTGTTTTAGGTCAGCATAATTGTTGATACTGCTTTTAATTACACACACACACACACACACACATACACGAGAAAAGTGAAAATATGTATGTTGGCACACAGACCCCCTATGGACAACTGTGCATACTGGCATGGTTTAGGAGTGATTGCCCTGGGAATCTGGGAGTTGTAGTTCACCCTTATCCAGAGAGCATGGAACCGAGCCGACGATGGATCTGGACCAAACTGGGCACACAGAACCAACATGGGCAACTGTGAATACTGGCAGGATTTGGGGGTAATTGCCCTGGGAATCTGGAAGGTGTAGTTCACCCTTATTCAGAGAGCACTCTCAACACCCTGGGAATCTGGGAGTTGTAGTTCACCCTTATCCAGAGAACATGGAACCCAGCTGATGGACCAAGACTAAACTTGGCACACAAACCCAGTATGGGCGATTGAATACTGGCTTGGTTTGGGGGTGATTGCCCTGGGAATCTGGGAGTTGTAGTTCACCCTTATCCAGAAAGCACGGAACCCAGCTGACGGATCTGGACCAAGCTTGGCACACAGACCCAACATGGGTAATTGTAAATACTGGCTAGGTTTGTGCGTGATTCCTTGGGAATCTAGAAGTTGTAGTTCACCCTTATCCAGAGAGCACGGAACCCAGCTGACGGATCTGGACGAAACTTGGCACACAAACCTGACATCGGCAACTGTGAATACTGGCAGGGTTTGTGGGTGATTGCCTTGGGAATCTGGGAATTGTAGTTCACCCTTATGCAGAGAGCACTCCCAACCAACAATGGATCTGGACCAAACTTGGCACACAGACCCAATATGAGCGATTGAATACTGGCTGGGTTTGGGGGTGATTGCCCTGGGAATCTGGGAGTTGTAGTTCACCCTTATCCAGAAAGCGCGGAACCCAACTGACGGATCTGGACCAAACTTGGCACACAGACCCAACATGGGCGACTGTGAATACTGGCAGGGTTTGTGGGTGATTGCCTTGGGAATCTGGAAATTGTATGTATTGTCGAAGGTTTTCATGGCTGGAATCACTGGGTTGTTGTAGGTTTTTTTCGGGCTATATGGCCATGATCTAGAGGCATTCCCTCCTGATGTTTCACCTGCATCTATGGCAAGCATCTTCAGAGGTAGTGAAGTTTGTTGGAACTAGGAATGTGGGTTTATATATCTGTGGAATGACCAGGGTGGGACAAAGAACTCTTGTCTGCTGGAGCTAGGTGTGAATGTTTCAACTGACCACCTTGATTAGCATTTGATGGCCTGGCAGTGCCTGGGGCAATCTTTTTTTGAGAGGTGATTAGATGTCCCAGATTGTTTCCTGTCTGTTGTTTTACTGTTGTAATTTTAGAGTTTTTTAATACTGGTAGCCAGATTGTGTTCATTTTCATGGTTTCCTCTTTTCTGTTGAAATTGTCCACATGCTTCTTGTGGATTTCAATGGCTTCTCTGTGTAGTCTGACATGGTGGTTGTGAGAGTGGTCCAGCATTTCCAACGTCAGGAGAGAATGCTTCTAGAACATAGCCATATAGCCAACAACCCACTGGGAATTGTAGTTCACCCTTATCCAGAGACCACTCCTAACCAACAACGGATCTAGACCAAACTTGGCACACAGACCCAACATGCACGACTGTGAATACTGGCAGGGTTTGTGGGTGATTGCCTTGGGAATCTGGGAATTGTAGTTCATCCTTACCCAGATAACACTCCCAAACAACAATGGATCTGGACCAAACTTGGTACACAGATCCAACATGGGCAACTGTGAATACTGGCTGAATTTCAGGTTAATTGACCCATGATTCTGGGAATTGTAGTTCACCCACATCCTTGTGCATTTTCTAATGGGAGCATTCATAAAAAACAAAAGGAAAGACTGGGTTTTTTTCTAATAAATAGTGTTATACATTACCAAACTGATATTACCGAACTTCGAAAAACAAACGTAGCCAATTGCAACATTCACACTTGCTTCAAGCAGACAAGAGTTCTTTCTCCCACCCTGGACATTCCAGATATATAAACATCACTTGCCTAGTTTCCAATATCCCTCACAACCTCTGAGGATGTCTGCCATATATGGGGACAAAACATCAGGAGAGAATGCTAGGGTTGAGACCCCTGGGGAGGGGGCAGTGCGAGGGAGTCTCAGAGGGATTGCCAAAGACTATCAGAAAATACAGTATTTTCTGTTGGTCATGGGGGTTCTCCATGGGAAATTTGATCCAATTCTATCGTTGGTGGGTTTCAGAATGCTCTTTGATTGTAGGTGAACTAAAAATCCCGGCAACTACAACTCCCAAATGTAAAGGTCTATTTCCTCCCAAACTCCACCAGTGTTTACTTTTGGGCATATTGAGGATTCATGCCAAGTTTGGTCCAGATCCAAGTTTGGTCCAGATCATTGTTTGAGTCCACAGTGCTCCCTCGATGTAGGTGAACTACAACTCCAAAACTCAAGGTCAATGCCTACCAAACTCTTCCAGTATTTTCTGTTGGTAATGGGAGTTGTATATGCCAAGTGGGTTGTTGTAGGTCTTTTTGGGCTATATGGCTATGGTCTAGAGACATTCTCTCCTGACATTTCGCCTGCATCTATGGCAAGCATCCTCAGAGGTAGTGAGGTACCTCCTCTGAGGATGTTTGCCATAGATGCAGGCAAAACATCAGGAGAGAATGCCTCTAGACCATGGCTATATAGCCCAAAAAACCCTACAACAACCCAGTGATTCCGGCCATGAAAGCCTTCGACAATACATTGTATATGCCAAGTTTGGTTCAATTCCATCGTTGGTGGAGTTCAGAATGCTCTTTGATTGTAGATGAACTATACATCCCAGCAACTACAACTCCCAAATGACAAAATCAATCTGCCCCCCCCCCCTCAACCCCACCAGTATTCACATTTGGGCGTATCAGGTATTTGTGCTCCATATCAGATATTTACATTACAATTCATAACAGTAGAAAAATTACAATTATGAAGTCGCAACAAAAATAATGTTATGGTTGGGAGTCACCACAACATGAGGTGCCCTGCTCTCGGTCCCTTCACAATCGTGTTTGGTGGGGACGAGGGACAGGGCCTTTTCAGTGGTGGCCCCTCGGCTTTGGAACTCCCTCCCGATGGAGATTAGATCTGCCTCTTCCCTCCTGACGTTTAGAAAGCTGGTAAAAACATGGCTTTGGGATACTGCATTTGCAGAATGATGACTGAGTCAATAACTGCTGACCTTTCTAATGGATGGTGATGAATTTATGATTCATTCTGACAAACTGATTTTTGCTGTAACTTGTATGAATTGTATGAATTGTATTTTAATGTATTTTATATTGATGATTTATAATGCTTTTCTTATTGTATTGAATCTTATGTTGTTAGCTGGCCTGAGTCCTTCCTCAGAGGTCGAGAAGACCGGGTTATTACAAACTCTAAATAAATAAATATTAAGGGGTCGCAGCATTAGGAAGGTTGAGAAACACTGTGATAGAGGATGGAGCTACAGCACCCCCCCTGTGGCCGGTATTGAGCACAACCTCCAGGATGTTGAAGTGCCAACATAAAACCTCAATCAGTTTGCTGGCTTCTAATTCTCATCTGTTTTTTTTTTTTTTTCCTTTCAGCCCTCCTTCTTTTTTTGGAAGAAGCCTTACTTGGCAGTCCTGACATCTGTGAGATTTGGGAGCTGTCGGCACAAGGAGGCGCCTATGAAACATCTCCCTGTCAGTGCCCCTTTGGGATAATAACATTTAACTACGCAAAAGGGAAACTGCTTATTTTCAGCAAAATCCCCAGACTGAAAAGTATGCCTTCATTGGAGTTGGTTTGGACTCAGACTGCCTTGGAGTAGATCAGTATTGGAATAGGCCTGGGCTAAGTCTGCTTTGGACTAGGACAACACTGGAGTAAGTTAGGACTAATGGTACACTGGAGTAAGCAAGTGCTTGGATATGCCTGGATGAGGGGTGCATTGCAGCAAGACAGCATTGGAAATGCACTGTATTCAGCCTGAATTAGGATGCATTAGAGGTAATTAGGGTTAGATTGAAGCCCCTTCCACACAGCTGAATAAAATCAGACATTATCTGCTTTGAACTGGAATATATGGCAATGTTTTTACCAGCTTTCTAAACGTCAGGAGGGAAGAGGCAGATCTAATCTCCATCGGGAGAGAGTTCCCAAGCCAAGGGGCCACCACTGAAAAGTCCCTGTCCCTCGTCCCCACCAAACGCGATTGCGAAGGCGGTGGGACCGAGAGCAGGGCACCTCATGTTGTGGTGGCCCAGTCCAAAGCAGATATTGTGGGATTTTCTGCCTTGGTATTCTGGATTATATGGCTGGGTGGAAGGGACTGGAGCCTCGCATAAACCTCCATTAGGATAGGCCTGCAGTGAAGTAGCCCTGGATCAAGCTTCCACCGAAGTAGACTTGGTCCAAGGCACTCTTTCCATTGGTTTTGGCTAAAGCAGACAGGGATCAGACAGGCTGGAACCTTTCCTCATTTCCCAGTGACAAAGGAAGATTATGGCTACTGGACAAGACTTCTCAGCCCCGGAAGATCTTCAGTTACAGTCTTTGGAGGTGGATGGAGTTCTAATTAAAGTGGGAGCAATAGCTTCAAATTTGACATTTTCCAACCCTGCAGAGAGACTGGAAAGGCCTGGCAAGTCCCACTGCATCAACAAACAGAAGGGGATGGAGAATCTGCCAAATTGCAAAGGAGAGTCCCCTGTGAAATTGCCGTCCCAAAACTCTCAACTGCTGATGCCGTCTCCGTGGGACGACCTAAAGGCATTCCTGCCTTTCTCGGAGGAAGCTGCTTCTCCTGACCCACTTGTGCAAGGCCCCAGCAGGGAATCCCAGGCTGTCTGCACCTCTTTGAAGCACCAAGGAGATGACACAGCCGTACGAGAGGAGCCCTCGGGAACGGATGCTGCCGCCATGGAAAGGCAGCGGCTGAACTTCCGGCAGTTCTGCTACCTGGAGGCCGAGGGGCCCCGCAAGGTGTGCAGCCAGCTCTGGTACCTTTGCCACCGATGGCTGAAGCCCGAGAGGCACGCCAAGGAAGAGATCCTGGAGCTGTTGATCCTGGAGCAGTTCCTGGCCATCCTCCCGCCAGAGATGCTAAGCTGGGTCAAGGAAAACGATCCTGAGAGCTGCGCCGAGGCTGTGGCTTTGGCTGAGGACTTCCTGCAGAGGCGACAGGAAGATGGGCAGTGGGACAAACAGGTGAGGGCGAGTTTCTCTCCCCAGTGATTTGTAGTGCAGGCTTGGGCAAACTTTGACCTTCCAGTTGTTTTGGACTTCAACTCCCGCAATTTCTAACTGCTGTTGTGAATTGTGAGAGGATTTATTTATTTATCATGTCATCAGCAACCATACCATTGTATTACATTTCTAACAGAACAAAACAAACAAACAGATTAAAAAACCACAGATTTTGTGAACTTGGTAGTTGATTAAATGTCCTTTGACCAGTATCTGGCCACTTGGAGTGCCTCTGGTGTTGCTGCAAGAAGGTCCTCCATTGTGCATGTAGGAGGGCTCAGGGTGCATTGCAGCAGGTGGTCAGTGGTTTGCTCTTCTCCACACTCGCATGTTGTGGATTCCACTTTGTAGCCCCATTTCTTGAGGTTGGCTTTGCATCTCGTGGTGCCAGAGCGCGGTCTGTTCAGCGCCTTCCAAGTCGCCCAGTCTTCTGTGTGCCCAGCGGGGAGTCTCTCATCAGCCATTGATTGAGGCTCTGGGTTTGAGCCTGCCACTTTTGGACTTTCGCTTGCTGAGGTGTTCCAGAGAGTGTCTCTGTAGATCTAAGAAAACTATTTCTTGATTTAAATCATTGGCGTGCTGGCTGATACCCAAACAAGGGATGAGCTGGAGATGTCTCTGCCTTGGTCCTTCCATTGCTGGCTGCTACTTCCCGGCGGATGTCACGTGGTGCAATACCGGCTAAGCAGTGTAATTTCTCCAGTGGTGTAGGGCGCAGACACCCCGTGATAATGCGGCATGTCTCATTAAGAGCCACATCCACTGTTTTAGTGTGGTGAGATGTGTTCCACACTGGGCACGCATACTCAGCAGCAGAGTAGCACAGCGCAAGGGCAGATATCTTCACTGTATCTGGTTGTGATCCCTAGATTGTGCCAGTCAGCTTTCGTATGATGTTGTTTCTAGTGCCCACTTTTTGCTTGATGTTCAGGCAGTGCTTCTTGTAGGTCAGAGCACGGTCCAGAGTGACTCCTAGGTATCTGGGTGCGCTGCAATGCTCCAGTGGGATTCCTTCCCAGGTGATCTTCAGAGCTCGGGATGCTTCTCTGTTCTTGAGATGAAAGGCACATGTCTGTGTTTTAGATGGGTTGGGGATTGGTTTTCCCTGTAATACGCAGTAAGAGCACCTAGCTTATAGCTTGAGTTCCCCCTTCCATTCAAGCTTATAGCTTGAGTTCCCATAAGCTGCCTTGAGTAGGATCAAATTTAAGTAAACAACAACAACAACAACAACAACCATCTCCCCAAGGGGACTCGGGGTAGCTTACAAGGGACAAGCCCAAAAACTACAAATAAACACAACCAATTAAAAGCATCAGATAAAATATAAAAACAATCACAATTGTAAACAACATCAAAACAATATGGCTGAGAAAAAGAACATCGCCTTCTCATTTTGCCTCCATTCTTTTTGGCGCTTGCCCATTTGAGACGAAGAGAGAAAACTGACCTTTGTGATCTCACCAATAGAAGAAAAAATAGGACACTTTTACCAAAACAAATGGCTTTGAAACATGACCGTTTCTTCTTCCAACAATTCTGTAAGGTAGAACCTCATAAGTGGTTTCCATTTTTACAGAAGAGAGGGATGAGATGAAGGCAAGAGTTGCCTTGCAAATAGTTATGTGATGCCAGATGAAAGTAAATCTTGGTCACCAGGGGGAAAGTCCATTCTGCTGTATAAACAGACGTTGCAAACTCTGAATCTGTGTTTCTGTTTTTCAGGTGGTTTATCCACAAATGCAAATGAATTCCAGTGAAGCTGAAGGACTTCCCTCAAAGGCTGTGAAAATGGACTTTGATGTGGAAGTCAAGGAGGAGGACACGGAGGCTGCCATCTGTATTGGTAGGGATTTCTCCCAAGCCAGAATTAGACGCTCTATTATTTATTTCCATCACTTTTACCCCGCCCCTCTCACCCCCAAGGGGGGACTCAGGGCGGCTTACAGAGGAAGGCACAATTCGATGCCTTGTCACATATACATACATATATAAAAGCAATTAAACAATTACAAATTAAAATTAAATAATCAATACAAAACAATACAATAAACACAGTAGTAGGCTAATCCTGAGCTCAGCGTTCGGAGTTCCGTAGATCCATTCCGTCTCGTCAAGTTCCAGCTCGTCATCAAGTCTTTCTTTAGCTGCCAGAATGTCCAAATGCCTGGTCCCATATCCAGGTTTTCAACTTTTTCCTAAATGAAAGAAGGGGCGTTGCCGATCTAATCTAAAAGCCCTGGAATGCCTTCCAATGGGACTGCATAGAGCTAGCCCTCCACACCCCTGGGGTCAGGGGCATAGGGTCCATGTGAAATGAAAAACCGCAAATAAACAAATCATAGAATCATAGAATTGGAAGGGAATTCATGCGTCATCCAGTCCAACCCCATTCTGCCAAGAAGCAGGAAAATTGCATTCAAAGCACCCCCGACAGATGGCCATCCAGCCTCTGTTTAAAAGCTGGATGGTGATTATGTGGAAAAATAATGTAATACCTATGCTACAATCCATGTAAGTTTGATTAAAAGACAGTAGAGTCTCACTTATCCAACTTTCATATATCTAACCTTCTGGAGAAAGAAAGAACCCTTGTCTGTTTTGGTGCTAAATTCATAAATACAGTAATTACTACATTTTTTTTTTTGTCATGACAGGAGCAACTTGAGAAACTGCAAGTTGCTTCTGGTGTGAGAGAATTGGCCGTCTGCAAGGACGTTGCCCAGGGGACGTCCGAATGATTTGATGTTTTTATCATCCTTGTGGGAGGCTTCTCTCATGTCCCCGCATGAGGAGCTGGACCTGATAGAGGGAGCTCATCCAACTCTCCCCAGATTCGAACCTGCGACCTACCGGCACAGGGGTTTAATCCACTGCGCCACTGGGGGCTCCATTACTACAGTAATTACCATATACTGAACTGCTTTTTCTGTCGATTTATTCTAAAACATGATGTTTTGGTGCTTAATTTGTAAAATCATAACGTAATTTGACGTTTAATAGGTTTTTCCTTATTCCCTCCTTATTATCCAACATTTTTGCTTATCCAGTGTTCTGCCAGCTCATTTATGTTGGATAAGCGAGATTCTACTGTATACTCATTTTTTATATATATATATTTAAAAATCTTGTAACCTTACTTTTTGGATAACCTCATACAATGCACAATGACTAGTTCCTCACTATCTCTGAGGATGCTTGCCATAGATGCAGGCAAAATGTCAGGAGAGGATGCCTCTAGATCATGGCCATATAGCCCGAAAAAACCTACAACAACCCAATGACAAGAAAGTTATTCTATTCTAACACACACAGATTCAGAACAAAGAAATCAACAACTTTTAAACTCTCTACTTCAAAGGGGATAGAACAAGGCCTTTATTATTATTATTTTTAATTTGAAAACATTATATTCTGTCCTCATCCCGAAGGGGACATATATATACCGCAAACATTCAGTGCTGGAACATAAGATAAACTATAAACAAACATAAACACTAAAACCAATTAACGGCATGTTAAAATCAACTGTTTTAAACTGTCTCAAATCATCGATATCGAATCAGGTCAGCAAGGTAAAGTTTCCCATCGTTGCCTTATTGCACTGTCCCAAAAGCATGGTCCCACAGCCAAGTTTTTGCCAACTTTCTGAAGGACAGGAGGGAGGGGGCTGATCAAATCTTGACAGGGAGGGCGTTCCACAGCTGAGGGGCTACCACTGAGAAGGCTCTCTCTCATCCCCACCAATCGTGCCTGTGACAGTGGTGGGACCGAGAACAGGGCCTCCCTGGAAGATCTTAACTGTATCGCGTATTTGACACAAATATCCGACACGTGGTGGTTCACAGCGGGAGATGCATTCAGACTGGGCCGTGACCATTTAAGGCTTTATATGCCAAAGCCAGCACTTTGAATTGTGTTTGGTAGCAAACTGGCAGCCAGTGGAGCTGACACACATGGTAGTTCTGTGCTCTCTGTATGCCACCCCAGTTATTTACCTGGCTACCTCTCATTTGACTAATTGAAACTTCTGAACAGTCTTCAAAGGCAACCCCACATAAAGCATGTTGCAGTAGTCTATCCTAGAAGTAATGAGAGCATGGACCATCGTGGCCAAGTCTGACTTCCCAAGGTATGGGTAGTCATGGAAGCTATGGAGAAAGGGGGCATGCAAATATGATTGGGGTCATAAAATAGCAACAAGCATGCAAGATTGTTAATTCTCCAACAATAATGGGATTGTATTGTTGAAGGCTTTCATGGCTGGAATCACTGGGTTGTTGGAGGTTTTTCCGGGCGATATGGCCATGTTCTAGAGGCATTTTTTCCTGACGTTTCACCTGCATCTATGGCAAGCATCCTCAGAGGTAGTGAGGTCTGTTGGAACTAGGAAAAAAAGGGTTTATATATCTGTGGAATGACCAGGTTAGGACAAAGGACTCTTGTCTGCTGGAGCTAGGTGTGAATGTTTCAGCTGACTACCTTGATTAGCATTTGATGGCTTGGCAGTGCCTGGGGGAATCTTTTGTTGAGAGGTGATTAGATGTGCCTGATTGTTTAATAATAATTACCTGTTGTTTTTTTTCCTCAGGTGATGGGCAATCGAGTGAGACTGAGGAGCCATACCTGATATGTATGAAACCTGCGGATGTGGATGAGAAAGAAAAAGGAGCCTACCCTCTGTCTGAAGAGGAGGAAGATGTATATTTGAACCAGCCTGGGTCAGAGGAGTGGCTGGAAAAAGACCCAGAGGAAACTTTTCCGCTTGGCGAAGCCTCAAGCTTCCTTGGTGAACCCTCAAAGAAAGTTTCCAAGGATAAGCAGGAGGCAACTTGCAGAACATGCGGGAAGACCTTCAGCCGGAGGACGGGCCTGCTGGCCCACGAGAGAGTCCACACTGGAGAGAAGCCCTACAAGTGTCCTCACTGCGGACGCAGCTTCCGCTCCAAGTCCACCCTGGTTGTCCACCAGAGGACCCACACAGGGGAGAGACCCTATCAGTGCAAGGAGTGTGGGAAGGGCTTCCCGGTGACCACGCAACTCATTGAGCACGAGCGGACCCACTCCGGGGAGAAGCCCTACAAGTGCGGGGACTGTGGGCAGACCTTCCGCCAGAGGTCCCACCTCAAGAACCACCAGAAGATCCACACGGGCGTCAAGCCGTTCAAGTGCTCCTACTGCGGGAAGAGCTTCAGCATCAGCTCGGATCTCATCCGGCACGAGCGGGCTCACACGGGAGAGAAGCCCTTCCAGTGCCCCGAGTGCGGCAAGCGCTTCTGCAACAGCTCCCAAGTCATCACGCACCGGCGGGTCCACACGGGCGAGAAGCCTTACAAGTGCCTGGAATGTGGGAAAGGGTTCACGGTGAGCCAGCAGCTCATCCGCCACCAGGCAGTCCACACGGGCGACAAGCCCAACCAGTGCCTGGAGTGCGGGAAGACCTTTGGCGGGAGTGTCCTCCTGGCGGAGCATTTGAGGATCCACACAGGGGAGAAGCCCCATGGGTGTCCCGAGTGCGGGAAGGCCTTCCAGCTGCGCTCCATGCTGATCACACATTTGAAAGTCCACACGGGGAATAAAATAGAAAGGATTGGATTCTGAAGAAAGCTGGGTGAGGGAGGGGATGGCGTTCGGATGTTTTAGAGCTGATTTATAACACAGGTAGCCCTCCGCATTTGCAGACTTGATTCCTGTATGTACAAGGGTTGTGCAAACTTGGGCCCTCCAAGTGTTTTGGACATCAACTCCCACAATTCCTAACAGTCTCAGACCTCTTCCTTTTCACCCTCAGCCGCTGTATTTTCATTTACTGGACCAAATTTGGCACAGATACCCAATACGTCCAAATTTGAATACTAATGGGGTTGCGGGGAGACATTGAGTTTGTTATTTGGGAGTTGTAGTTGCTGGGATTTATAGTTCACCTCCAATCAAAGAGCACTCTGAACCCCACCAGCGATGGAATTGAACCAAATTTGGCACACAGAACTCCCATGACTGACAGAAAATACTGGAAGGGTTTGATGGGCATTGACCTTGAGTTTGGGAGTTGTAGTTCACCAACATCCAGAGAGCGCTGTGGACTCAAAACAAAAATAAATCTGGACCAAACTTGGCAAGAATCCTCAATATGCCCAAATGTGAACACTGGTGGAGTGTAGGGAAAATACACCTTGACATTTGGGAGTTGTAGTTGCTGGGATTTATAATTTACTTACAATCAGAGTGCATTCTGAACCCTATCAATTGATAGAATTGGACCAAATTGGCATGAGCCTCCCTCCAGCCTCGCACACTCTCCCTCACCACTTGGGGTCTCAGAAACAGCCCTCCCTTTGGCTGATAGGCCAGCCAATCAAAGCAGCGGAGGGCTTTCCGTGGGAAGATTCGCCGTCTTATTTCCAAAAAGGAAGAGAAAGACCAGTGGAGAAATCTTCAGCTTTCCCTGCCAAACCATTCCTAAGATCATCAGAAATACCAGTTATATGTATTGTCAAAGTCTTTCATGGTTGGAATCACTGGGTTGTTGTAGGTTTGTTTTTTTTTTTGGACTATATGGCCATGTTCTAGAGGCATTCTTTCCTGACGTTTCGCCTGCATCTCTATGGCAAGCATCCTCAGAGGTTGTGAGGTTGTGACCTCACAAACTCTGAGAATGCTTGCCATAGATGCAGGCGAAACATCAGGAGAGAATGCCTCTAGAACATGGCCATATAGCCCGGAAAAAACCTACAACAACCCAATACCAGTATATGTTTTCTGATGTTCTTTGACGACCCCTCTGAAACCCCCTCAGAACCTCCCCCCCAGGAGTCCCGACCCCCAGGTTGAGAAGCGCTGACCTAGCGATTCTTTTGATATTTTCAATCAGATCTGCAAAAGTCAAATCCACAAATGTTGCACTGTGATGAAAGAATTACCTGACCATTTTTGAAGGGGGAAACCCATTTCTATAATTCTTAGAAATGCCCAATACTCTTTCTTTATGATATCTTACATTCCTTAATAATAAGTCTGCAAGGACTTTGTATTGCTCATTTATTGGAGAGGAGACAGGCAGACTGAATGTGGAGTCTTGCTTTAAGGCAGTGCTTCCCAACCTTTTCTTGACCAGGGAGCATTTTGACCAGGGACCACTCTCCAACATTAGTACCAAAAGGTCAACTTTAGATTCGGTTTGGTTATTTGGGGCGCTGATTCAGAAAATTGCAATGGATAGACCACATCAGCTCTAGTTTCAGATACAGAACATATGCCATCCACTAGTCACCATGTGGACAACAAGTTAAACATGAGCCAACAGTGTGATGTGGCGGCAAAAAAAGCCAATGGGATTTTGGCCTGCAGCAAGAGGAGCATTTTGTCTAGATCTAGTGAAGTAATGCTCCCCATGCTCTATTCTGCCTTGGTTAGACCACACCTGGAATATTGTGTCCAATTCTGGGCACCACAATTCAAGAGAGATATTGACAAGCTGTAATGTGTCCAGAGGAGGGCGACTAAAATGATCAAGGGTCTGGAGAACAAGCCCTATGAGGAGCGGCTTAAGGAGCTGGGCATGTTTAGCCTGAAGAAGAGAAGGCTGAAAGAAGATATGATAGCCATGTATAAATATGTGAGAGGAAGTCATAGGGAGGAGGGAGCAAGCTTGTTTTCTGCTGCCCTGGAGACTAGGACACGAAACAATGGCTTCAAACTACAAGAGAGGAGATTCCATCTGAACATGAGGAAGAACTTCCTGACTGTGAGAGCCGTTCAGCAGTGGAACTCTCTGCCCCGGAGTGTGGTGGAGGCTCCTTCTTTGGAAGCTTTTAAACAGAGGCTGGATGGCCCTCTGTCAGGGGTGATTTGAATGCAATATTCCTGCTTCTTGGCAGAATGGGGTTGGACTGGATGGCCCATGAGGTCTCTTCCAACTCTTTGATTCTATCTGTTCTCTCTCAGAAAACCATATTTAATAATCTAGAGCCATTGACCTTATTTTAGGTGGGCCACGGCCCACAGGTTGGGAACCACTGTTTTAAGGCCAGTTTTTTCCCATGGTAAAAGTAAATTCCCATTAGAGATTTTCTGTCTTCTTGCTGGAATGTGTCTAGAAGAGGGCAACTAAAATGAGCAAAGGCCTGGATAGCACAAATCCTTCTGAAGAGCAGCTTAAAGAGCTGGGTCTGTTTAGGTTGGAAAAAAGAAGCCTGAGAGCAGTCATGATGGCCATGTTTAACTATGTGAAAGGCTGTCATAAGGAAGAGGGAGCTGGCTCGTTTTCTGGACTCAGTGGAGCAATGGTTTCAATCGACAGGAAAGGAGATTCCACTTGAACATTAGGAAGAACTTCCTGATCGTAAAAAGAGCTGTTCAACAGTGGAACACTCTGCCTCGGAGTGTGAAGCAGGCTCCTTCCTTGGAGGCTTTTGAACAGGCTGGATGGCCATCTGTTGGGGGTGCGTTGATTGTGTTTTACCTGCATGGCAGAAGGGAGTTGGGCTGAATGGCCTTCGAGGTCACTTCCAACTCTGACTGACAATTTAGGGCGGAGGGTTGTGTGAATACACAGAGATGGGACTTGGTGTCTGAAGAGCTGCAGAATGAGGAACCATACTGGAGAGAACATAGTTGGACCAAACGGGTCAATTTTTATTGCCCAGTTTTTTTGGCTTGCGGTCATTACCAACAAGAGTTTGCTAATGCTAAAACACATCAATATTTTTAGTCCCACGCATTTGGAGTCTGATTACTGATGGAACATACCCATCCCTATCTTCATACTTTCCTGAAATGGATTTTGGTTCTCAAGAGCTGAATAGATTGGAAATGGCAGCCACCTAGGCAAACAAGTCCCATGAGTGACGGCTCACTCGGTTGCCCACCTAAAGACGAGGGTTGAATGAAAAGTAATGCCTCCACCTTCGTTACTTGGGTTTGGATGGGAATATTTTAATAAATCAAACACAGAAATAATCCTCAGAATGTGCTCTTTAACTACCACTATTAACTTTTCCACATAATCACCAGACAATTGGATACATTTCTGCCAATGATGAACAAGTTTTCTGAAGCCATTACAGAAGAAGTTGACACTCTGTTTCCGCAACCAGCGTCTCCCAGTTCTCTCAACGTCTTCATCAGAAGCATCATGATGTCCCCACAGATCTTCTTTCATTATCAGGAACAGATGGAAGTCAGATGGTGCTAAATCTGGACTGTATGGAGGATGTCGTACGGTGGTGAGAACCAGTCTCTGAAATTTCAAGTCTGTGCGCTTTCATTTTGGGTGTCAGCATCCTGGGTACCCATCATGCACAAATCTTCCGATACCAATCAAAGCAATAACGTGACCCACGTGTTCTTGTGAAATGCTGATTATGCTTGAAATTTCTCTCCAAGTGATACGATTGTCCTGAATCAATCTGCCAATGTTTTGCTTGTGAAAGTCAGTGGTTGCTGTCACAGGACATCCAACTCTTTGTTTGTCACGCAAGTCAGATGTTCCCACCTCAACAGCTTTAAATTTACTTGCCCAACAACGCATAGTATTCCCATCAACACATTCACCGTAAACAACTTGCATTCTCTGAGGAATCTCCTTTGGGGTGACACCTTCTGCTGTCAAGAATTCAATGACTGCATGTTGCTTAAGTTGCATTGACCGAATGTCTGCGCAGGGTTCCATACTTCGCACTTTAACAACACAACCGTTCAATGCTAAGGCTTCCTGCCAAAATGGAACTGTAGAGGAGAGTCTACTGAACAAGACAGTACCTGCCGCGTACCAGTACTGCCATCTGTTGAGGAGTTGGGAAGGTGGAGGCATTATTTTTCATTCAACCCTCGTAAATAGGTTTTGTGCACCCCGGTGTCTGTTGCTTTACTGGGAGATGCTGAGTGCTGTGGATGAATGTTATGGTTTGATTGTAGAGCTTTGCATACAACGGATCCTGAGTCCAACTAGTGGCATCTCTAGGCTGAACTGGGAAAGAACAATTGAAACCCTGTAGAGCAGGCATGGGCCAACTTGGGCCCTCCAGGTGATTTGTACCACCTGGAGGAATTGTGGGAGTTGAAGTCCAAAACACCTGGGGGGCCCAAGTTGGCCCATGCCTGGAGTAGAGGGTCTCGGTTCTGCCAACATCCTGCACTGCCTAAAGTACAAACAAATAAGTCCCAAAGCAAGATGACTAAACTGAGGCTGTCATACTCTGGCTACGTCATAAGAAGACAGAACTTGCCTAAAACGTTTGGAAAGCTGGAAGGCAGTAGGAAAGGAAGAAGACCATATTCCAGATGAATGGACTTAAGTCAAGGAAGCCATGGCCATGAGTCTGCAAGCCATGAGTTTGCAAGTTCTGGACAGGGATGCTGACAAAAGGGTGACTTGGGGTTGAAGTTTTATAATAATTTGAGCCTTCTTTGCCAAAGTGTGTGGGTTCCATATCATACTACATTACCAAGGATACCATAGCATTGAGTCATGGCAGTTTGGTGTCAAATTCCATTAATTCTTCAGTGCAGATGCACCTTTGGGGGAGCCTCCTTCCTATGGTAACCATCTATCAAACTCATTTTGACTTCTGTTCACCTTCACAAATGCTGTTATTATCCTAGAAAAGAGGTATAGGCACAATAATTAATAAAAACTTAATTATTTATATTACAAGTGACTCTCGTATGCCTGTTATTTATCTATCTATATAAAAATGCTCTGTTAATTTTGAATGACAGCATAACTCAAAAACTACTGGACAAATTGCCGCCAAATTTGGCCTCAAGACACCTAACCCAAGGAGTGACTATCACTCAAAATTGATTTTGTCATTTGGGAGTTGTAGTTGCTGGGATTTATAGTTTAGTTACAATTAAAGAGCATTCTGAACTCCACCAATGATGGAATTGAACTAAACGTGGCACACAGGACTCCCATGACCAACAGAAAACACTAGAAGGGTTTGGTGGGCATTGACCTTGAGTTTGGGAGTTGTAGTTCACCTACGTCCAGAGAGAACTGTGGACTCAAACAATGACAGATCTGGACAAAACTTGGCATGAATACACAATATGCCCATTTGAGTCTGAGGAAAATAGACCTTGACATTTGGGAGTTGTAGTTGCTGGGATTTATAGTTCACCTACAACCATAGAGCGTTTTGAACCCCATCAATGACAGAACTGGGGCAAACTTCCCACACAGAAACTTAAGGCCATAATTAAGGCCACCCAGTCCAACTCCCTTCACCAGGGCAAGAAAATGTAATCAAAGCCCTCCTGACAAAGAGCCATCCAACCATAGATATAGATAGATACATATGATTCACACACACAGATATAGTATCATAGATTTGAAAGGGATCCCTAAAGAAGGACAATTATATGTTGCATATTCCAGAGAAGGCAAACCAGACAATCTCCACATCAACACTGACAAAGAAACAGAAAGAAATATTGTTTACCCACAAGCAGAAAGAAATTACATATATTAGAAACCAACACTTTCTCATTACTTTATATTCCAGATCACCAGACTGGGCCACAGCAATGCGTGGCAGGGGATGGCTAGTTATTATTGTTACTATTTGAAACACCACAAGATGAGTCCACAGCAGACACTTCCCAAGTGTCTAGGACTGTGTGATGCATTGGTGAATAATGTGGTCAGATCCCAGTAAGGTGGCCTTTTGCAGCTGGCAGATGGTAATTTTGTCAGCGCCAATTGCGTTTAAGTGCAGGTCAAGGTGTTTAGGCACTGCACCCAGTGTGCTGATCACCACTGGGACCACCTTTACTGGTCTTTGCAGTTTGATCTTTAAATCCTCATATCGTGTCAGCTTTTCCAGTTGTTTCTCTTCAATCCTGCTGTCACCTGGGATTGCGACATCAACAATCCTATTATTTTTTTTAACACGATTGTGAGGTCAGGAGTATTATGCTCCAAAACTCTTTCTGTCTGAATTTGAAAGTCCCAGAGGAGTTTGGTGTGTTCATTCTCTGTAACTTTTTCTGACTTGTGATCCCACCAGTTCTTTGTCGCAGGCAGATGGTATTTGTGGCACAAGTTCCAATGAATCATTTGAGCAACGGTGTTATGCCTCTGCTTGTAGTCTGTCTGTGCAATCTTCTTGCAGCAGCTGAGGATGTGATCTATTGTTTCATCTGCTTCCTTGCAGAGTCTACATTTGGGATCTGTTGTCGACTTTTCAATTCTGGCTTTGATGGCATTGGTTCTAATGGCTTGTTCTTGGGCTGCCAGAATCAGGCCCTCCTATCTCCTTTTTCAGAGTTCCATTTGTGAGCCACAGCCATGTTTTTTCTTTGTCAATTTGGCTCTCAATTTTTCCCAGGAACATTATTATTATTGACACAAAAGCACAGTATGTCACAGCAAACGAGATCTCTATGCTGGATTTTGTATTACAAAATCACAAGTCGAACACTTCCCAAGTGTCTAGGACTGTGTGATGTATTTTCAAATGATGCGTGCAGACCCAAATAAGGTGGCCTTTTAATTATTATTATTATTATTATTATTATTATTATTATTTGGTTGACTTCCCATTCTTTTGTTTCCCCTGAAAGCCAAAGCAGCAATTCAGTTGGTGCAGAAGCCTAAAGGGTTGGAGACCAGCCTGTTAGCTGGTTGATTTGAGTTGTTGTTGTTATTATTATTTTAGAAGTCACTAGATGTTCCCTGCCACACGTTGCTGTGGCCCAGTCTGTTGATCTGAAAAATAAAGTAATGAGAAAGTGTTGGTTTCTAATATATGTAATTTATTAATGCTTGTGGGTAAACAGTATTTCTTGCTGTTTCTTTGTCAGTGTTGATGTGGAGAGTGTCTGGTTTGCCTACTCTGGAACATGCGACATATCATTGTCCTTCTTTAAGGGTCCCTTTCAAATCTAGGATACTATATTTCTGACTGTGTGAATCATATCTCTATCTATCTATCTATCTATCTATGGCTGGATGGCTCTTTGTCAGGAGGACTTTGATTATGTTTTCTTGAGTTGGATTGGATGGCCTTGAGTATTTTCTGTTGGTCATGGGTGTTCTGTGTGGGAAGTCTTCCCCAATTCTGTCGTTCGTGGGGTTCAAAATGCTCTTTGATTGTAGGTGAACTGTGAATCCCAGTGACTACAACTACCAAGTTTGCTTGTGCCAAGTTTGGTCCAGATCCATCATTGTTTGAGTCCACAGCGCTCTCTGGATGTAGGTGAACTACAACTCCCAAATTCAGGGTCAATGCCCACCAAACCCTTCCAGTATTTTCTGTTGGTCATGGGAGTTCTGTGTGTCAAGTTTGGTTCAATTCCATCGTTGATGGAGTTCAGAATGCTCTTTGATTGTAGGTGAACTATAAATCCCAGCAACTACAACTCCCAAAGGACAAAATCATAATGTTTTGAGTGATGGTCACTCCTTGTGTTGTGAGACGTTTTGTTGCCAAATTTGGTGTGATTTCGTTCATTGGTTCTTTTGTTTTTAAGGTACTCATTAGATAGATAGATAGATAGATAGATAGATAGATAGACAGACAGACAGACAGACAGACAGACAGACACTGGAAGGTCTCCCTCCCTCTTGGAAAGGGAAGCACCACCTGCTTCTTTTGTTCTCAGCCTGCTGGAGGCAGGTAACAGGGCTTGGTTGGCAAGGCAATATTAATTTTCATTTTTTATTATTATTATTGGGAGTTAATTTTCCCCTCTTCTGACAAACAAGAAGGCTGAAAGAGAAGGTTGTGGATGTGAGGATCCTTCCCCCATAATGAAAGGCATTGTCTGGCTTTTAAAGCCCTCTCCTTCCGCCTAGGACTATTTTTTTCAAATCTCTGTACACTCCTCCCCAGCCCACTGGCTTGTGGTTAACCCTCTGCAACCTGCCACTCTCCTGCCTGTGGTCTTGTCCCCTCTCCAAAGGCTCCCCAAAGAGAGGGAGAGGAGGAGGATTCAGCCCCCCAAAGCGTGCCCACTTTCCCAATGTTTTGGATCCCCAACCTGCCCCCCAAACCCTGCCCAGAGCGCATTTGGAGAAGGAAGAGAGTCTCCTTTTGGATCAGGAGGGGGTTAAGCTGATAGAGGCTGGCCTTTCCCAGAGAGGACACGAAACTTGAGCTAAGAGGAGGCTCTTAAGACCCAAGGCCCTCTTTTTATCCTCTTTGAAGAGAGAGAGAGAGAAAGAAAGAGAGAGAAAAAAAGAGAGGAAAATTGAGAGTTCATGTCCCTCTCTGCGCGCAAGAGAAGAGAGAGAAATGTGGAGGAGGATGCCTGGTAGGTAAAGAGGGGAGGGCGTGGGAAACCCCAGCGAAGTTTTCCCCCTCCCCTTTGTGCAAATAAAAGTAGAAGGAGGAGAGAAAGGGGGGAGGAAAGGGGAGGGATCCTGGCCCCCCCAAAGCCCAAAGGAGGGAGGGAGGCTTCTGTGAGGCTGATCCTTTGCAAGGCGCATGGCCTCTCTGCGCCCAGGACAATGGCAGGAACTAGACCCAAGGACAAGGTGGCACAAAGGGGAGGGAAGGGGGGAGGGAGAAAGGAGGGGAGAAAAGAAAGGAAGGAAGGGAGCCCTAGGTAGGGATCCTCTTCCTTTGTTCTCCCTTGCTTCCCAATTTGGCTTTTGTCCTCCTTTTCTAACCCCTTCTTTGGGGGCAAAGAATGGCCGGCCTCTTGTGCGCCTTGGAGGTTGGAAAGGTTGGGGACTTTGGAGAGGACTGGGCTTGCTTTCCTCCTCGTCCCTGGCCTGCTTTGCAGCCTCTTTGTTGCCAGGGAAGAAAGGGACAAAAGCCAGCCATGGAGCAATAATGATAATAATAGTAATAATACAAATAATAATACAACAATGATGCATTTTGCACTTGAACAAAAGAAGAGAAAAGTCCTGGAAATGTCAGTCCACTTGAGGAAGGGTTGCTCTGAGGGTCAATCCAGTTCAATTGGGGAAGGTTTACTCCCAGTCCTGTCCATTCCTACTCCAGAGGCAGTCCAGTTTTGAGTCGGACTGGGTTCCCTCTCAGTGCAGTGCCTACTCCAAACTCAGACCGGTTGAGTTGGAGAAGGCTGACTCCCAGTTCTGTGCAATGCTTACTCGGCAGTTGGTCCAGTTGAGTTGGGAAGGTTTTGTTTAACCCCCCCCCCTTTTTTTTTGTCGTGTCAGGAGCGACTCGAGAAACTGCAAGTCGCTTCTGGTGTGAGAGAATTGGCCGTCTGCAAGGACGTTGCCCAGGGGACACCCAGATGATTTGATGTTTTTATCATCCTTGTGGGAGGCTTCTCTCATGTCCCCGCATGAGGAGCTGGAGCTGATAGAGGGAGCTCATCTGCCTCTCCCCGGATTTGAACCTACAACCTGTCGGTCTTCAGTCCTGCCGGCACAGGGGTTTAACCCACTGCGCCACCGGGGGCTCCATTAGGTTTACCCCTAATACTGTGCAATGCAGTCCAGTTGGGTTGGGGAAGATTTACTCCCAGGTAAATGTGTGTGGGTTTTTTCAGCCTGGGGATGTACCTAGTCACTTAGCAGTAAACATCTTTGTACTTATGGCCCTTCCAGACATATCCTATATCCCAGAATCTCATCCCAGGTTAAGTTGGATTATATGAGTCCACACTGCCAGATAATCTGAGATAAACAGAAAACCTGGGATCAAACCCTGGGATATAGGGCCTGTCTAGAAGGGCCCTCAGTCAAAGTAACTTCCGAGCAAAGCTGCACCTTAAGTTACTTCCTTGCAAGTTTTTGCAACATTCTTTAGTGAATTTTGGATTGGCCTGATTCATATTTTAAGACAACTTTTGTTTACTTTCATTTGTTTTGAACATCATAATAATGAGGAGGCTGTTTTCCTCCTCATTCCTGGTCTGGTTTGCAGCCTCTTTGTTGCCAGGGAGGAAGGGGACAAATAATACAACCATAATGCATTTCAAATAATACAACTATAATGCATTTTGCACTTAAACAAAAGAGGAGCAAAGTCCTGGAAATGTCACTCCAGTTGAGGAAGGGTTGCTCTGAGGGTCAATCCAGTTCAATTGGAGAAGGGTTAGGCGCATAGTGTCTAGATCTAGGGAAGTAATGCTACCCCACTATTCCGCCTTGGTTAGACCACACCTGGAATATTGTGTCCAATTCTGGGCACCACAGTTGAAGAGAGATATTGACAAGCTGGAATGTGTCTAGAGGAGGGCGACTAAAATGATCAAGGGTCTGGAGAACAAGCCCTATGAGGAGCGGCTTAAAGAGCTGGGCATGTTTAGCCTGAAGAAGAGAAAGCTGAGAGGAGATATGATAGCCATGTATAAATATGTGAGATGAAGTCACAGGGAGGAGGGAGCAAGCTTGTTTTCTGCTTCCCTGGAGACTAGGACGACGGAACAATGGCTTCAAACTACAAGAAAGGAGATTCCATCTGAACATGAGGAAGAACTTCCTGACTGTGAGAGCTGTTCAGCAGTGGAACTCTCTGCCCTGGAGTGTGGTGGAGAGTCCTTCTTTGGAAACTTTTAAACAGAGGCTGGATGGCCATCTGTCAGGGGTGCTTTGAATGCAATATTCCTGCTTCTTGGCAGGGGGTTGGACTGGATGGCCCATGAGGTCTCTTCCAACTCTTTGATTCTATGATTCTACTCCCAGCCCTGTCCATTCCTACTCCAGAGGTAGTCCAGTTTTGAGTTGGAGAGAGTTCACTCTCAGTGCAGTGCCTACTCCAAACTCAGACCAGTTGAGTTGGAGAAGGATTAGGAAAGCACAACTTCCCAATTACAATCATTCAATATATCAATATATATATATATCATTGAACTCTGACTTTGACTGAGTTCAATGAGGTTAACTGCTAGGTGACTAGGTACATCCCTCCCCAACAAAAACCACATACATTTCCCAGGGAGTAAAGCCTCCCTGACCCAATGGGACCAACTTCGGATAGTGCTACCTATTTGAGAAACCACATCTCCTCCTACCTGCCCACATGAACCCCACATGAACTCAGTCAAAGTCACTTCTGAGCAAAGCTGCACGTTAAGTTTCTTCCGTGCAAGTTTTTTTAACATTCTTAAGCGAATTTTGGATTGATCTGATTCATATTTTAAGACAATTTACATGTGTTTTGACTGTAATAGGCCAATGCAAGCTGCAGAAATTTGGTTCAAGTTAACAAACTAACAAATTCCTCAGTATAAAGATTTTGGACTATTAACTTTCACCCTGAATTTGCTCCTCTCCTTCTCCATGTTCCCATCCTCCTCCAGCACAGACATGGGGAATTTGAGGCCATTTCAGTGCAGGTTGGGCTTCAAGTCCCATCACTATGCTGCCTGGGGGTGATGGGAATTGGAGTCTGAAAGTGTCTTTGGGGCACCGGTTCCCTACCCTTACTCAGTGTTATCCAGTGTATAGAAAATTAAACTCATCTGTACTATAATACCCAGAATCCTCCTGTACCGACTCTGTGGATTCCCGTAATGGGAATCCCAAAATGTTGTTTCTCTGCTCTGCTGTCAATAGGAAGAATGTGAGTCGAATTGAAATCATAATGCATGTAATGGTTTGTTGTTTCCAACTTTGGTAATTTTAGGCAATTGTATCACAGAGCTTTCTGTAGCTATTTAGTCTCCAGCATCATAGTCCAACCCTGCAATCACTAAATATCATTTGGGTCTCTTAGATTGGCGGTACATTGTAAATTTAATGCAGTTTGACACCATTTGAGCTGCCACAGCTTAATGTCCTGGGAATTCTGTAATTTGGTGAGACGACTAAAGACTTTGTAAAACTATGTTCTTTGGCAGAGAAGACTAAAGACCTTGTAAAACTACAGCTCCTGGGATTCCATAGCATTGTAAAAATAATATTGTAGAATTAATGCAGTTTGGCACCAATTCAGCTGCCTGGGAATCTTGGGAGTTGTAGTTTGGTGAGGCACCAATGTTTTACTTTACTTTTCAGACCCTGCCTATCCTAAAGAGTTCAGGCCCTGCCTATCTTCATGATCGCATCTCCCTCTACGAACCAGCGCAAATTCTAAGATCTACCAGGGAGGCCCTCCTCTCGCTCCCACCATCATCATCAGTGCAGTTGGTGGGGAACGAGGGAGAGGGCCTTCTCGGTTGTGGCCCTCCGCCTCTGAACGCCCTCCCCAGGAAAATAAGACAGGCCCTATCCTTCTCCTCTTTTCGTAAGAGCTTGAAGACTTGGTGGTTTCACCAGGCCTTCGAGAATGATTAGCACGAGCTCCAGCCCCCTGGTCACTAGTTAGAATGCGGCCCTTTAACCCTACCTATTACCCTGGTCAGTTCCTCAATTGGCTCAGGAAATGAGCATCTACAGGCCCATTGCTACTACTGTAGAGTCTGGTTACTGCACTTTACCCATTTCCTTGGCTCCCTATGACTTACTTTGCACTACCTCCGGCCCGGCCATCCCAAACTGCCTAGGTCTGGTCCTAATAGCTAATCCTGGCACAAAGAATAAGGTCAATTGATTTTATTGTACACTAGCCATCCCTTGCCATGTGTTGCTGTGGCCCACATAGGGGTTCAGTGTGGGAGGTTTGGCCCAATTCTATCGTTGGTGGGGTTCAGAATGCTCTGTGATTGTAGGTGAACTATAAATCCCAGCAACTCCAACTCCCAAATGTCAAGATTCTATTTTCCCCAAACTCCACCAGTGTTCACATTTGGGCATATTGGGTATTCTTGTAGAGTTTGGTCCAGATCCATCATTGTTTGAGTCCACAGTGATCTCTGGATGTAGGTGAACTACAACTCCAAACCAAAGGACACTGCTCACCAAAACCTTCCAGTATTTTCTGTTGGTCATGGGAGAACTGTGTGCCAAGTTTGGTTCAATGCCATCACTGGTGGGGTTCAGAATGCTCTTTGATTGTAGGCGAACTATAAATCCCAGCAACTATAAATCCCAAATGACAAAATCATTTTTTTGAGTGAAGACATACATTAGGTTGTTAGGTGTATCGTGTCCAAATTTGGTGTCAATTCCCCCAGTGGTTTTTGAGTTCTGTTAATCCCACAAACGAACATTACATTTTTATTTATATAGATGTGTTGTTTGACTATTTTATGCTTATGTTTTTGGTTTTTTTGCTTACTCTGTATGGTTTTGTGTTTTTACAATTTGGAAACCGCCCCGAGTCCCCCAAGGGAGATAGAGCGGTATATAAATAAAGTTTTATTATTATTTATTATTATTTTCCTGAAGAGTTGATAAAACTACAACTCCTGGAGTTCCATAGCATGGAGCCATGACAGTTGAAGCGGTG